GTCGTTATCATACATTCCTGACAAAATAGGTTGCCATAGCAATTGTATGACCTGCTAAAATCACCCATAATTTATCAAAAATTTAAGGTGGCTCTGAACCCCATTTACAAAATGTTTTAAAACTTTGCCAAAAGTTGCGTTTATCCTGCTTATCAAAATTCGTCATATAATGGGGGTCACCGAGCTTGCTTCGAATTATTAGCTGTTAAAGCTAAAATTAAGAGTGTTTTTAGCAGATCGTACTGCTGCTATGATAACCTATTGTGTCACGAAAATGATAACAGCGAGTTCAACAATGACTTGGTATTTTTGTGATACCATGTTTGTGGCACCAAGTGATAAAGATTGGTTATAATGACTTATCAACGTCTTGTAAAGTTCTGGAAACTGTTTTGAGCTACTTTAACGGCGTTTTTAAGCTCAAAATACCCATTGCACTGATTGTTTAGAGCCCAGGTTAATCTATGGTGCACTTGTTGAGAGGCGAACGGAAACAAACGTTGAATGACGCCGTAAAACTCTTTCTTTGTTAGATCAACGTTAGATGAACGTAAACTTTCTCTTACGATTAAAAATCACACCTAGAAAATGTTTGAAACGCAAAGTATTGCCGATTCCTAGTCTTCCCAATATTAATCGACTCTTAGTTGCTCTTCTACCATTAATCAACCGAAGTGCATTTTGTTTGTCATACAAGACGACTTAATATACCATGACAAGAGACTATTACCTAACAGAACAAATCCTAGTGCCCAATGATGATTTTCTGAAGTCTATCATTACTTTCTAGTCGCATTTTACTGTAACAAAATTCTACTGATTTCATTTTTTACTTAACCCTTTCACGCCCAGTGTTGCCCCCAGAGACATGATCGAGACAAAATCGACATTGCAAACTAAAACGTAAAATTATTGACTATTTTCATCTAACAATATTTATTTATGGAGGTGCCAAAAAGCCTAATTAGCAAAAAAACAATGAATAGGACGGCTAAACTTTGGCAGAATTTAATTCAGCTCATCGCCTGGCCTGCGAACGGGCTCACTCGTTGTTTGGGTAGCGTATCGTGGGCAACGGCGGCGGAGCCGCAACCGCTAGCCGGCGAGAAGAATGGGGCGAGGAAAAGCCCCATTCTTCTCGCAGGCTACTCGTAGCCGTCCCCCGTTCGCGAGCAAAATGTCAGTTAGTACAAACCAGTTACATTAAACGAATTAAATTGTTCTTGTTTGCCATATAATAAACTGCGTTCGGTCTGTACTCAGGATCTTGGTCAGGATTCTCCCATACAGACCAACTAAGCTCGGTTAATAAGAGCTAAAGACAAAAATGCTAAGCTCCTACACAGAATGCCTTTGGGCTCGTAGCAAACTTCCCTTCCCCACGCGTGACGACAGCCTTGTTCCTATCTCTTCCTTCGTTTCTCGAGTGAGGAGGTGAAAGGACCCTGAGAACAAAGTTGGTGTGTCGAGTTCAAAGGGTGTCTGCGCACGAAGTTACATGAAACGTGATGTAGTGTAGTAACATTTTTTCGCAAAACGTGATCTAAAGCTACACTATACATGACAAACCTCAGGGTAACTATAGTGGCGGGAATGTCATTCACACAGGCTGTAAAAGGCATCAGAGCAAGAATGATCAAAAACAGGAGCAAGTTCAACCTGCAGTCAACACCACAGGTGCCTTTCGTCGCTTCGCCGGACGTTTGGCCAGTTTTAGCGACGCAGGCACAGTTGGAGTAAGAAAAAGAACCCTGAAAGGAAACAACAGAGAAAAGATGTTACAAGATAACTGCGAGCTTGCCAGAAAAGAGTGCTCCTGTAAAAATGTACGGCAATAGAATGGTTACTGTGATAATTCTTTTTAACATTTCATACCTTGTTCGTTTTGTTTGCTTTGTTACAGCCAGCATGACATGGAGAAAAATAGGTCAGCGATCCACCGCACACAGGAACATAACTTACACCAGTACAGTTACAGGCCTGGTTACATGGTGAAGAGAGTTGGACTGAACCCGAGCTATATGTAATTTAAGGCAGAATTCTTAACACTTGTCCTTCCAGTTCATAGGAAGAGTGGTTGGTTTTAGTGAAGGAAAGGAAGAAGGAAGATAAAAAGCAACACAGACAGACAGACATACAGACATAAGGACCGACATATAGGCAGGCAGGTGCACACAAACACAACGACAAACAGACAGACAGGCAGAGAGACAGTTACAAAGCAAAAATAAAGTAAGAAAGAAAGAAAAATGAAAGGGAGGCAGGGAAGTCAGGAAGGAAGAAAGAAAGGTAGAAAGGAAGAAAGGAAGAAAGAAAGGGAGGTAGCAAGCAAGCAAGTTAAAGGACTCACCTGTTCAGATATGGTCTATTGACACCAGCAATATTTGGAGTGTCACATTTAACGTGTAAAAAACACGTAAGGATAACTCCAAGTACTGCAGTAATAAAACACATCCTGGCGGATTCAGTCAGTTTCAGCTTCAGACGTTTATTGATATACGCCCCTATAAAAAGAAATTTCTTAGTTCTAAGATTTTTGGCATTTATAAACTTCAACGGCAGATTGTCTGAAGAACCTCATGTTGGGTTTGAACTGCGATAAGACCAACATTTTCGTCCAGAGGGAAACACAGGGAGATCAATTTATCTCCCCGAGAAATTTTGTCTCTCGAGGAGATTAGAGGGAGGAAATTTAATCGTTTACTCCAGGCCAAGGAGCAGTCATTTGTTTTCTAGCAAAGCAGAGCCGGTTAGCAGATCCAGTGCAAAATGACCGTCGTCACCATTGGCCGGGATAACAGTCCGCTTTTACCCCTCTAAAGTTATAGATTTTGGCAATGTTGCCCGCCAATTGACAATTTGCGCAAAACCGTTTCATTTTCAGATGTCATGAGACCTCAAAGTAGCCAATGTGAGCGCCGACATGCTGTTGACAAAGAACATCCAGCTAGCGCGTAACATTTTGGAATCCGGTTTTTTTTCATTAATTAATTGATTAAATTAATTTTTGATTACTTTTTTTTATTATTACCGTACCTAACAAGTTGCCAGAGAACGCACAAGGTATAGCTATCACGCCAAACAGAAGAGCTGCCTTGCCAGGCGGCAGATAAAACTGCGTTTGTATGACTTTTGGCATGAACGCCCCTCCAACTGACATGTTAAAATTTTCCAAGCAGACACCCAGTGTTATGAATACGAAGGGAAGTCGTGAAAACACCAGCTTTGTTGCCTTGGGAAGATCTTTCAGCTTGGTGTAGCTGGCCTTTACTTTTCCCTCTTCTTTTTCTTCTTCTTTTTCTTCTTCTTCTTTGCCCTTCGAGAGAAAATCAGACATTTCTTATATGATTACAGCGGGATAATAACCTGTTATCATTATAACAAGAGTTCCCATTGACTTACACTAAGTGCTTTATTACAGTAATACAACCTGCGCAGCCTACGTGGGGTACATTGATCATCCGTGTTTTATGCACATGCAGTTTTAGATCGTTACAAAACTATTTTCACTCAACAAAAAAAAATAATAATTTCTCGATTAAAATTAAATAGCACAACTTTACCTCAAAGTGAACCAAAAAACCCTCAAATTGCGTAACTTTTTGTTAAAGGATTTTACTCTCGATTAATCCTGTGAAAATTGAGCGACTACACTACTTTCAGTCTACCCGTTCAAGATCTGTTAATGCGGTATTCATCTCTCGTGGAAAACAAACTTTGACATTAATTAACACTCTGTAACACTACAGTAGAACTTCTAATAACGGCCACCCCTCTACCGTGGGCCCCGGCGGCCGGTCCATACATTCTCTCTTATTTTAACCTCTCTACAACGGCCACCTCTCCACGACGGCAACGGCCACTAGAGCGCTTCCCAAAATAACCTCTCGACAACGGCCAGTTAATCAACAACTGACGAACGCTTTATACAAAAACCCATTTTTAATAGAAAAGGTCACGAAATTTGATCCACAGGCGCGAGTCGTTGGTCTCTGTTTCTGTTTGGTTTCCGTTTTATCGATATATTTTGATTGTTACGTATTTTCATGCTACACTATGCATTTACCCAACGACAAAAACGGGTGTCATATCACACTCCTACCTCTCCATAACGGACACCTCTCTGCAACGGCCACTTTCCTCTGTCCCCAAGGTGGCCGTTGTGGAGAGGTTCAACGTAGCAAATTAACCTACCACTTTAGCTGCAGTTTTATCTTCACCAAGTCCTATTCCCAGCTCTTTCTTGGTCAGCGGAAACTTTTTCGGGAATCCCAAAAGCCAAATGCTCCAAAACACACAGATCGCGCCAAATATGGGAAACCCTAGCCACCAGTTCCCTACCCAACGTGGATCGCGGATTGCCAACGAGGTCTGGACACCAGGTTCCACAAACATTGAAAGAAACTTTGAGATACACACAAATCCAACAGCGACAGCTGAAACAAAAACAAAATGATGTAACAAGCATGACAAATGGACTACGCATGGTTTGAAGAAATTTTGATTTAACTTTAAATTTCGTAACCTACAGCATACATCTTCCAAAGTGACAGTTAATGAAATTCAAAAGAATTAAGAATTTAAAAATTTAAAGCGAGGTACTGGTTACGAGCCTAACAATAATCAACATAGGAAATGTCATCCGGTTGGATTTAATTAACACTGCCCACATTTTCATTGCAGGCCAATAAGTGGTAGGCTACAAAACACTGAGTCGTTTTTCACTTGTCACTCAGCGCTCGCGTCGAAAGCATTGATCCTCACAAAAGAAGCACACTTGGCTCACACGCCCCCTGGCTGAAAAAGAATAGGACTGCTTTGAAGTCTTTATTAGTCTTACAAGCTGCGAAAAGTATAGTTATTGTAAAATAAGTAATAATTATGAATCATATTTCTGTCGTAAAAAATATATATCAAAAACTACTTATGACAACTTACCAGAAATTCCAGAGGCGAAAAATATACCCACGTACATAGGTGACACATTTGCGCTTACGTTTTCGTCCATATATGGAATTCCTAACGCGATCATGGGAGTGCAACCGGCGCCTGCTACAACCATTCCCAGAATGAACAGCGCGTAGTATAGAGTATTGCCACCGGTGGTTTCATCTTTTCAATTACCTTTCCCGCCAAAATCAGTGCGATTTGCCGTGCAAAGTCCTGAGTCACTTCCACTCAAAGTGGTATTTGTGACATGTACAACACCTAACATAGACGTACAACAAGACTTTTAGCATTATTATGTAAACGCTACGGCGTAAGAATCAGCATAAGTATAGGAATGGGTATAAGTACTGGCGTTGACATTCGCATTGGTAGTGGGACTGGAATTGGTACAGGAACCGGCATTAAGCCGTGAAACTGACACTACGATTGACATTGGAACTGGAATATAATCGGGATTAGCATTTATACTGGCATTGACCGGCACTAGGACTGGTATTGGCACTGGCATGAACTGGCAATATTTGGCGCCGGCAATAATTGGCGCTAGCAATGGCAATGAAATGGTAATGGCATTGCCGCTGGGACTGGAACTGGCATAAGTCACGCAGAAATGTACATTAATTAGCATTTCCACTGACATAGGCACTAGGAATGGCATTAGCACTGGCATTGGCAATAATTGGCAATGGCAGTGGTATCGGCACTGTCACTGATATTAGCAACTGAATAGCATTTGTATTTGCATTAGCATTGGCATGTCCGCTGGTACTGGTTTTAGGTTGGTATTACAGATATAGTATTGGTTTTAATATTAATATACAATACATTTTATTGACAACCGTGGCGGAGTCGTTTGGACAAACCTGCTTCGTAAGGTGGCGAGACAAAATGTGGCAGCATGAAAATAAAGAAACCAACACCCATTGCAAACACTCCCCAGGCACAGAACGCTGGCTTCTTTCGTGAGCCTCCGATGTAGCTGATCAGCGGAGTTAAGATCATGGCTGCTACGTCATAACTGCTGGTCACCATCCCCATCATGTAACTGTAACAAAAACGGTTTTGAGAATTATGCTGTCACCCAAACAGAGTACAAGATCACTAGAAACCATCATTAAGTATTATTGAAATTTCGGTTGAGTGTTATTTTTAAGAGTGTTGCAGCCACACATGTGTCTAGGGTTACGGAGGCAGCGTGGCCGAGTGGTCAGCTCGTCAGACTCGCAATGCAGCGGTCTCAAGTTCAAGTCTCGCTCTGACCACTACCTGGATTTGCTTCACAAGTAGCCCCGAGTTCAAATTCTCGGCCATGCTTGTAAATAGGCAATTGGTTTGCCCCCGGCCAGTTGGGATTCTTAACAATGTT